TTTTTTTTTTTTTGAGACAGGGTCTCACTATGTAGCCCTAACTGGCCTGGAATTCACTATGTAGACCAGACTGGCATTGAACTCACAGAGGTATTACCTACTTGCCTCTGCCTCCCGAGTCCTGGGATTAAAGGGATTCTCCATTTGGGATTAAAGGGATCTTCCACTATGCCTGGCCTGAAAAAAAACCTTTTATTATGGAGATTTTTTTCCCTTTTTAAAATTTTGAGACTAAGTCCTGCTATGTAGCTTTGCATCTGTGGCAATTCTGCTTAGGATTATAGGAGTATGCCACTGCGCTCAGCAAGTTTTAAACACCAGCTGGGCATGGTGGTGTCTATCTTTAATCCCAGCATTTAGGAGTCAGAGGTTGGTGGATCTCTGTAAGATCAAGACTGGCCTAGGCTAAATACTGAGTTCTAGACCAACAGGGGCTACAGGAGACACTATCTTAATCCCCCTCACCCTAAAAATGATTTAATCACATGGAAAGGAGAGGACTATGACCTCTATCCCACTGCCAGCTCCAGCAGCTGCCAGTTCCTTCTCATTCGTTTCTCTTCACTCAGACAATCTTTTGTGTGTGTGTGGTACTAGGGGTTGAACCCGGGGCCTCAATGCCCGCTAGGCAAGCACTCTACCACATCCCCAGCCTTTTTTGTTGTTTTTTTTTTTTTAAGAAATATTTTATTATTTTTATTTGTATGTATGTAAGTGTAATGCCTGCATGTACATAAGTGCACCTGTGTCATTCAGTACCCACAGAGGTCAAAAGAGGGTGTTGGATCCCTTGGAACTGGAGTTATAGATGGTTGTTAGGTGCCATGTGGGTACTGGGAATTGAACTCCGGTCCTCTGCAAGAGAAGCCAGTGCTCCTAACCCCTGAGCTATCTCTCCAGCTCCAACTGTTTTTTTTTCTTTTTCTTTTTCTTTTTCTTTTTTTTTTTTTTTAATTTTTTTATTATTATTTTTATTTTATGTGTATGAGTGTATTGCCTGCACGTATGTGAGTGCACCTGTATTGTGCAATGCCTCAGAGGTCAGAAGTGGGCTTTGGATTCCCCTGGAACTGGAGTTGAGGACGGTTCATAGCCACCATGTGGGTGCTGGGAATTGAACCCGGGTCCTCTGCAAGAGCAATCAGTGCTCTTAACCACTGAGCCATCTCTCCAGCCTGTTTTCTTTTTCAAAGACCCTATCCGCCAGGGATATGAGCTAAAAAGTATTTCTGCGGTGGCTGGGGTTTGCTGTCTAACAGTGACAGCTCAGTGGCAGAGCACTTGCCTGGCATATACAAATCCCTCAGTTCCATCTCTCCAGCACTGCAGAAAATAAAAGACTGTCAAAAACAAGCAGAAGGGCTGGCAAGACAGCTCAGTGGTAAAGGTCTGCCACCAAGCCTGACAACCTGAGTTTAATTCCCAGGATCATATATATGCTGGAAAGAACTGACTCCTGAAAGTTTCTTCTACCCTCCACGTATGCATTGTACATGTATGTAGACACACAAAAAATTTAATTTTTAATGCAATAAGAAAAAAAAAATCTGGGGGATGAAGGGATGACTCAGTGATTAAAAGCACTGGCTGCGCTTGTGGAGGACCTGGGTTTGATTCCCAGCACCCACATGGTGGCTAACAACAATCTATGACTCTAGTTTCAGGGGATCCAATGCCCTCTTCTAGCCACTATAGGCATTGCATGACACTTAACACATGTAGGCAATACATTCATACACATAAAATAAAAAAATAAATAAAATACTTGTTTAAAAAGAAAACAACCACGATCTCATTTTCTTATCTATCAAAGTTCACAAGAATTCTTTATTACCTACAGTATCTGTCTGCCTTAGATCTCTGTCCTCGGTTGTCTCAAAGGATCTTTTATTGAGTTATGAGGAGCCGGACAAGATTCCCACTCTGCTCTAGAGCATGCTCTTCTTGTCTTACCCCACTCCATTGCAGTCATCTTCTTTTGTCTTGAGGCAGTGCTTGTTTAAGGAATAGGGGCCCTGTCCTGTGTAACTACTACCTTCAGGATCCCTGTGGTCCCATTTAACATGCACTCCTTTCTCTGTATTTCCTGTGACCTGGTGGCTGCGTTGCCCAATTGCTCTACAGACTACCTGATCCTGCCTCCCTGCCAGGAAGGAAGAGATAATGATAGAGGAGCCAAGCCCCACAAAGTTTGGGAGGGAAGCTGCAAAGGGACTGCATCTAGTGATCCTGTGGTTAACACAATCCTGGTGCTACTGCTGGGCTTACTCTGCGGCTCCATATTGCTTCTGTAAGGAGTGCCCATCATGCTGTCCTTTTCTGTCCCTCTGACATGCTAAGCCTGGTCCAGGACACCTGTGTCTCCTTCTACCGCTTTCCACCAGGGTGCTTCCGACCATCATGAGAAGACGCCCCAAGCTATCCTCTAGGCCTGTCACCTGCTCTGCTTTCTTTCTAGTCTTCTTAGTCAGCAACTGAAACTATCTTGTACGGTATCTGCTCGCTGGCTACCTCCTCCGCCAGACTGTCAGCTCCAGAGTGGTGAGGACACCTGTGCTGCTCACAACTGCATCCTCACCCATACTAATGTCCAGGATGTTCTGTCACTGTTAGGAGCTGGCCTCAGTCTGATCTGAGGCTAAGCATACCCTGCTCTGCAGGCCTCATGGGAAGGAGCCCACATTTATGTTCAGCAGTGTAAAATGCTCCACAGGATCACTTCCCTTTGTCTCTACCTTGAACTTCTGGAGCTGGAGAGGAAGGGGAAGTGGTCACTGCTGTGGCTGAACTGGATGTCTGTCACAGCAGCCCTGCTCCCTTCCTTCTGCCAGCAGTACTTTGTTCAGAATGGCAGAGTGCTGGGGTGGGCCGAGCACCTGGTCAGTAACTTTCCTGTCCCTTGGTCCCTAAGGCTGGACATAGTCATTCTGGCCAAAGACTTCTGGTGCTTGCCAGGTGAGGAAGTGGGTGCATGCTGAGTGTATGTAATATAGGGCATTTCCTAACCTGACTAGAGGAACAGAGTTAACTTGAAGAGAGAACAGTGTGGAGTAAGTAGTTGTGGAACAGAACAGAGGAGTGTTACCAGCCTCTGAGAAGGTGAGAGGAAGAAGGGGGAAGGAGAGGGTGAGAGGAGAGAGCAGATGGCCTTGGTCCTGGGGGTGCCCCCATGAGTGAGCACAGGAACATTCCTTGAGACACCCCCAGGAGATGGTACAGGAACCAGACAGACTCTGGGGAGGAAACAGGGAAGGTGAAAGGGCCAGGTGACCAGGCAAGATGAGAGAGGCCAGAGGAGCCCGCACTGAACCAGAGAGCAGGAACGACTTCCTCAAAGAGGCACATGGGCCTCAGCTTCTCTAAGCTGAGTCTCTTGTAATTCCAAATATCGATCATCTGAGTTCTTCAAAGCAATCAGAAAACCAGAATTTCATGTAATATCTTCAATTTGTAAAGCAAAACCAACAGGAGCAGCAACAAAAAACTACCATGTGCAGAAGAGTTCCTGAAGGGCTTAAGAAACAGGTGTCTGCTCTCCCCACACCCTGCCCTTTCCTTTCCCTGCTTCATCTTATCTTTAGCACCTATTTCTCTGACTCACACAAGGATTTCCAGCCCTGTGTGAATGTGTGATGTTGGTGCCTCTGAGGAACCTAAATGTGTGGTCACAAGAGATGGGAGGGCTTAATTCTTCATGCTACACCACTGGCCACTTTTTGAACCATTTACACGTATTTCTTGTCGATGAATGTTTTTTCTTTTCATGTGCTACAATCTTTAGCACCTATTTCTCTGACTCACACAAGGATTTCCAGCCCTGTGTGAATGTGTGATGTTGGTGCCTCTGAGGAACCTAAATGTGTGGTCACAAGAGATGGGAGGGCTTAATTCTTCATGCTACACCACTGGCCACTTTTTGAACCATTTACACGTATTTCTTGTCGATGAATGTTTTTTCTTTTCATGTGCTACACAAGTGCTCTACCACTGAGCCACACCTGCAGCCCCTTACTAGGGGACTCTAAGCAAGGGCTCTACCACTGAGCCACACCTCCAGCCCCTTACTAGGGGACTCTAAGCAAGGGCTCTACCACTGAACCACACCTCCAACTCCTCATTGGCGGTTTCTGCAGGGGCTCTCTACTACTGACCAAACACCCAGTCACTCCGGGGGGGGGGGGGGAATTCTAGGCAGATGCTCTACCACTGTGCCACTCCTCAGGCCCAAACTTCCATCCTTACTCCATCTTCTTTTTTGAGAGGCTTTTAACTGTAGCTCAGGCATGCCTTGAACTAGCCATCATCCTGCTTCAGCATCCTATGGAGTGCTGGGATTACAAGAATGCTGGGATTACGGGTGTGTGGCACCATGCCTGGCTGAATACTACTTAGGAATATTGACAAAAACTACAACGAGGGTCTG